ACAGTCTGCGGGCGATTAGTTCAGTTCCACTCCTTGAAATTCATACCTTGACAGGGCCATGTTCACCCATTTCTGCGTTGAATGAGACGACAGGTCCATTTTTTCCCGTGTCGTAGACTGCCACCCATGCGGTGGGCATGCCATATGCCGAGGGCGTAACGGACCAGCCATCCTGCGCCCCCATAAAACGCGTCAAAATATCATGTGCAATGACCTCCTTGAAGCCTCTTTCTGGGTTATCGTGAATCTTTTTGTTTATTGGCCAAAACTCCTCGGCGAGGCCGTCTACTGTCTTGCTAATATCGTCTAGGAATTCCGGTTTCTGTAGCTCATTGTCGAGGGCGTGGCTTTGGGGGACAATGACGAAGTCGTCGACCTCGTCATCATCAAACGACGAGTCCATGACGAATACGAAATACCAAAGAAGCTTCAGTCGTGAAATGAGGCTTGAGAATAGTAGCAGCCCCCAATGAATGATGACTGACAATGCTCCAGGGTCATCCCGTTTGATCGATCCAAGGGGACTGTCAGCACGGCATTGCGAGTTCCCCGCAGACCGAACGTGGCAATGACAAAAGTTCCCCCACTCCCCGTTTTCCTTTCCGGGACGACGCGGCACGTCCGCTTACAGGGTAGCATAACGGTTTGACCAGGAAGAAGGGTGAGGGGGAGTAGATATGCTTCATCCTTCTTTGTGTAGATCATTGATGCTTATTTTTAGCATCTACGGCTGTTTCATGTGCTTCAGCTAGATTAAGCCACTCCTTTTGGGATATAAACTCTTACGCTTTTTGGGTTGCAGCTTGGGGTGGTTGACTGCATGGCATTATCGTATTCCAGATGTAGAGAGAAGCAATCATCTTGAGCCAAGAGAATAATAGGGCTCTCCCCTTCTCACGCCAATTATGAAGAGAAGCTTTTCACATAATTTGTTTTTTTTCATATTACTCATCTGGTGATGCGCTTGGAAGCCACCATCGCTAGCCATGTCTGCCGGTTGACTCGTATCCATCGCGCATCGAAGCCACACAGATCATAAGCATCCGAGCAAACCTGGCAAACTCGTGTGTGGACCTTTTGTAGGGCAGCAGCCTGAGGAAAGCGGAGACTAGCTACCGATCCCATCACGTGAGCGACCTCATCCATCTCTTGTTTGCCCCTGGTTTTCCGCCTGTATGGATCCGACGGCTTCTCATCCGGCGTCGGTCTTGGCAGGTCAATCTTCATTCATTGATGACTGGCGGCAAGCCATTGGGCTCACTCCACCTTTTCTCTCAACGTCAATCCCGGTTTTATCTCATCTCCAAAAGACTCTGGCGAATTGATCTGGGCGGACATCTCTTCTCTCTCTCTCTCTGCCCTCGGGTCTGTGTGAGGACTTGCAGCTGTGGAAGCGCGACTATATACACACTCGGCAAGTCTAATACAGGAGCCAAAACAACCTACAACACGCCGCCCAACGCCCACGCCCGCGCTGTCTCATGCGATCCGCCCACGTTGGTTCACCGGGCGGGTGTGTGGGAAGTTTCAGTTTCTCAGCGTGACGTAGGGCTTGATTACCTTTCCGTACCTTGAACGCCCGCGGCTCAACCGTTATGCCGGAATTCTCATCGGAAGCCAACGTGTGCATCTGATTAAGTTCATTAACAAGCGAATCTCGTCCTCAACCCACGATATCGTCGTTCTTTGCAACTCTTCTCCCCCCTTCTCCTCTCTGCCTCTCCAAAAAAAAATATGCCCAACATACGGCAACAGTTGAGTCCTAACCCGTCGGACTCGTCGTCCAACGAGTCGAATGATTCCCCACCCAATGATCGGGAGTCTGGCACCATGACACGCACCAACCAGAAGAGCAAGCCGCTGAGTCGACGAGGTCATTTCAAGTCACGGCTGGGCTGCTTCAACTGCAAGCGGAGGAGGGTCAAGTGCAACGAACTCCGGCCTTCGTGTTCCCCGTGCAGTCGTCTCGGCCTGTCGTGCAGCTACCCGCCGCCAGCATCGTCGCCGTCGTCCTCCTCCTCCTCAACCAGCCCTCGACCCTCTCTGCCGACGCTCGCGTTTGAAGATCTCCGCTTCTATCACCAATTCTTGACAGGTGCCTTTCCGGCTCTTCCCCTTAGAGCAGCCGATGTTTGGATGCAGGCTGCGGCCATGTCTCACAGTGTGAGAACCCTCCCCTCCCCCAATCGTTGCATTTCTGGATCTCGCATTCTTCGTATTCAAGTTTGTCACCATAACTTGAAGTTTTTTTGCGTGTCAATTTCATCGTCAACGCCCCAATTCTCGTGCAACTGCTTACCCATATTTGATTTGATAGTACGACTATTTGGCGCACGCCGTTCTTGGCCTTGGCGCGTCGCACATCTCTCAGCATGGCAATGTCGATTACACCGAGCAGGCGCTCCAGCACCGCGTGACGGCCATCAAGCTCGTCAATGATCAAATCGCCAAGGCGCCCAAGAATCCCGCCGACGCGGATGCCCTATTCGCCACCCTCATCTGCCTCGTCGCCCAGTCTTCTCTCATGCCGGATAGCATGATAGAGTACCTGACTACGACGAGGGGCGCCAACCTCGTCGCCACAACCGTCATCACGGATTACCAGTCGTCCATCTTTAGTTGCTTTACCATGGAGGAGCATCTCAAGTCTCTGACCAAGGTGGCTAGCGATCAGCCAAAGGACATGACGGTGATTGACGGATTTCGATCTGCCGTCATGGACCTTGAGCCCTTGTGCCAGAACCACACCGAGGTGGCCTACTGGGAATCCCTCATCAGGTGCATTGATAGTGTGCCTATATCCGCTATAGATGGTATGTCATGCCCCATATCGTAAACTGTTTCCATTCTAAGTTGTCTGGTGATAGGCTGGAAAGGCTTCGTCGTCATCTTCATTATGCCGAGTACGTTTAGTAATGAAGACTATTCCGCGTTCATCGATCCTGAGAATTACGTCGCGTATCTACTCATCATACACGGTTTCTTGATCGATTACCTTCTCGGACGATTTTGTATTGCACCAAGCGATGAACCCAAGTACCCGGGACGGAAGGCTGTCGTAATTTCTTGGGCGCGGAATCTAGTCAAAACTTTGCCGCCAGAGTATCGGAAGTATATGAAGTGGGCACTAGAGTTTTGCGAGGAGCTTGAGCATCAAGATGCACGGTATTTGCTCAGCCCGTGATGGTGGCACGGAGGAATGCGCCTAAAGGCATTTGGACGACACAACATTAATGAGGAGAAATGACTGGAGGGTCTGGGTCGCCTTTTGATGCATACTCGAGCGGGGTGCAGGTGATTGGGTTGCAGATTCGGCCACTTTCTGACTGGACTGACATGCGAGATGGATGGCCTCAGGATTCGGCCTTGATATATGGCCTTGCTTGCATATTGTGGAACCACCGAAACACGTTGGCGGCATAAACCGAATGAGGGGGTGGGCGACGATTATGCCCCATATTCGTTTTTTGCCGCAGAAGGAATACGGAGAAGACTGATTTGGCGATACCTGGGATTTTCAGGCCTACCGGATATGATATTTGCATGGCGTGAGTCATATCCTTGGTGATCTAGGACTTTCAAGAAATAGACCAGCTAACAGTGACAGACTCTTGGACTCTGATAACGGGACGACAGCACCGCATACGGAAAACAAAAATACAACGAAGCATGTTTGAATAGCGAAATGATACCCTTATATAACTATCGAAGACAATTTTGGGAGAGCAAACTCGAGGGACTCGAATCACAGCCGAGAGGGGAGAGTTTGGATTGCTTAATTAGGGACACGAGAAGGGAGAAATATTCCTCTATAAAAAGTACACATCACATGCTCATGAGCAATGTATTTATGAACTACTACCGAAGAACTGACTACTCTTTCAACTCTTTTGCTTGAGTCTGGTGGCCATCTTGGCTCGCTCACGACTAACGCTCTCATGACCGTGGAACCACCCAGCAGCAACACCCACAACACCCGGTCAAACACCAACCAACGCGTCCAACCGTTGAAAATAAACTCCATCACACTCCCTCAATGCATAAAGCATCCAAAAATAAAGCCAAACACGCAAAAAAGGAGATAAACGGGTCTGGCCGGGGATTGAACCCGGGACCTCTCGCAAACAGAAGCTGTAGGGTGGACCCTAAGCGAGAATCATACCGCTAGACCACCAGACCACGTGATCACTGCTATGATCCGTTGATGGGGAGGCATGAGCAAGAAGGGTACTTGAAGGTAGGGTGGTGATGGAACATGAGGTCCGCCGTTGATGATTGGCACTTTGCGAGTGAGATGTTGATGGAAATCAGTATCAGAGTACGGATTCGATAATGGAGTACTTGGATATTACAAAATAACTGGATTCGACAGTGTGTTGTTATACAAGTGTAGATATACAAGTATAGTTACGGATGTCTCTTTACATGCTCTGGGACATGCTGCGTCATCTATGTAAATGATGATGGGATATATTCCAACTCTTTCTTCGGCTCTATAACGTCTGCCCCATTTTCCATTACTATTCTTACTCTTATTTAGCTAGGTTTGACCATTTTACCATTGTTGGTTATGGTGGGCCATATTCTTGATTGCAGGGTATCAATTTGTCCATGTGTGTTTTGTCCTTGCTGAGCATTACTAATTATCATTTCTAGTCAACCAAACTATGATGTTTAATCTCCATCACCCAAATAAATAAATAAAAGCTACCAAGCCTCCTTCCTCTTCTCATTTCTTCTCAAGCCGTCTGTTTATTCTTGCTTGCTTCCGTGAAGTCCATGGACATTCGCTACCTGCCGCACCAGAGTCTTCTCTAGGGTACGTACCTATGAGTCAGCACCCGGTCGGCCCGGCGGTGTCCCCACAGCCACAACAAGCCACAACCAGCTTGGCTCCACACCGAAGCATCAAAACAATTTCTTTTGTCTCGGTCTCGACCTCTTAAGTCAAATTATCATCCACAACCTCAACAACGGATCACAGAAGTGATTACGTTATCGGTCTGGTGGTCTAGCGGTATGATTCTCGCTTAGGGTTCACCCCAAGTTGCAACTCGGTTTGCTTGCGAGAGGTCCCGGGTTCAATCCCCGGCCAGACCCTTTTCAGGGGCTCAATTCGTTCGAGTTGAAGTCCATTTCTCTTTTTGAGGATTATATTTTTGTGGCCTGGGATGCTGCTTAGTGTGGAATTGGTTGGGGGCTAGATGCGAGGTGAACGGGGCAAGGGTTGGTATGTGGGTGAGTGGTGCTCGTATTCTATGGCATGGCAATCTTACCTTTGTATCCTACAAGCTACTTATTTCTCACGATGCTTTTCGAAACGGCGACACTTCATTCCATTCCTCGTAAACCCTAATCTATGTCTAGCTAACATGTGTCAATGCTAATATTGTCCCTCTGGAGGCTTAAGTCTTCAAGTCAACCCATGTCTTCAGACTCATCGTTGGCGCTGCAAAGGCAATTGCATAATGATTCCGCTCCTAGTCTTGAACTTCTCTGATGGATTCTCCGGAATATGATCAGTTTCGCCATTGGCCCTGAGAGCCTCCTCCAATGTACATTTTCCTGCGTCGGCGAATCCCATTGACGAGTACATGTTCAAGGTAACTGTATTCTCAGGCTTCACCATGATGCGAAGGACAACCTTGGGAGCCCCTTGCTCAAAAGATGTAAGATAGTCGTAGGCAGTTCGACAGATGAGCTTGGCGAGTCCCTTTCCTCGGTGACTGGGCAGACTGAAAAGACCCAACATCTGCCACCTTTCTTCTTCCTCATCGCTGAGAACTGGTGGCTGGCCGGATTCTTCAGGCAGACGAAAAGAGTCCGCTGGGATAGGTCCTAGGAGAGTAACCTGCGCAACCCATTGACTCTCTTCCAGAGCTGCAGTCGCAGATGAACCTTTGTCGATACAGATAAAGGTCTTCTTGTTGGGATGAAAGAGCTTGGACGACCAGTATTCGATCGAATACTTCTCCTCAACTTCAAAAGTAGAGGCAAACGAGGTCGGTGATTGCTTCAAGGCGTTGAGACGCAGCTCTCGGTATTTGGCTGCGAGTTGATCATGGTTGGGACTGTCCTGATCGATCTGAAAGACTTGAAATGGACTGCTCATGGTGGTAAAAGTATTTGATGTCTGGTTCGAAGTTTTTTTTAAAAACACAATTTATAACTTGAAGTTCTTTCTATACGCAGGTAGGAGGAAAACGAGTGTCCAAGGTTTGGCTATACGACTCTTTATGAGTCCGCCTCTAAGTAGGTGATTAATAATCGAACCCAACTTTTGCATGAGTCTACGCCATCGTTTCCTGAGTAACATCCACATAATCACAATACCAATGCCCAACCGTCCTTGTGACCTTGCTCCTTCTCGTTCATCTCGCACCGCGCCCTTCCTGGGTATTGCATTCTCGTATCCGTGACCCATGACAACCCGACTACCTACTTCTTTTTCTTTTTCGCCTCCTGACTATCCCGATATGCTGTAATGACATCCGCGGCAGTCTCCTCTAGTGCCTTCTCGGACACCCAAGTGGCTTCATCGGGAGGGTAGCCAACCCACTCCACCCTAAACCGCTTGCGGCTCTTGTTGTGCGATATAATGGCAAACACTTCAAACATCTCGGGGTCAAAGGGGTTCGTGGGGCGGCCGCCCTGCTCGCGCCAGTAGGCAAAGAGTGCGTCGGGTGCGTCTTGGTGGAGGTTGACTTCGGGCTCCCAGGTGGTCTCGCCGTTGTCCCACTCGACTTCGATTTCGATGGAGTTTTCGACCCAGCGGTGGTTTATGAAGCCCTTGAATGTATATTCTTCGTCATCTGCTTCTCCACTGGCATCATCCACTTCCATAGTATCACCTCCATCATGGTCGATAGTAGGAGCAGGTATATTGACGACTATATTGCTTGAAGTCTTTGCTGGCGTAGATTTTGCGGGCGTGGATCGTAAGGCAGTCGTCTTCGCCGGCGTTGATGTTCTGGGTGTTGATGTTCTAGGCGTTGGTCTGGCTGGCGTATTGCGCCTAGATGCTATCGGAGTCCGCTTAGGACCTAAGGAGAATTCGGAGCCATCGATATCGTCATCGCCGTCTTCGTCTCGGGGAGCTGAGCTGGCAGCGTCCTGCTTCCGCGGGGTATAGATGGAAGCAATTATGCGGTTCATGTTGAAATTCTACGTCGACATCGAGTGCTGCTGCTGCTGCTGTCCCTCTTTTCTCTCCATCGCCCTCCACTATTGTTATCGATAGATGACGCGCCCCGACAACTCTTTTTTGTCAGCCCCTCTTGGATCCAGTGACCATGTAATTTTGTTGATTGGTTTGATCCTGGACTGTGGCGCTCATCGTGCATCCTATCTTAGGGCGATGGATCCATCACGTGACTCTCATAGTGCATCATCCGTCATCGTTTGCGATGAATAAACAGGCACGACAGGGATCATCCAAAAGATGCTCCAAGCTTCTTGATGGGAAGATCCATGTTTGCCTCTCCCGCCCAAGCTCTTTTGCGGGGTGAGTTCCTTGGTGGATTCGGCGGCGGGATCCGAGGCTTGTGCTGCATGAAGGAGGAGAAGAGGAGGTGAAGAACCTTGAACGTTTGCAATGATGCATCCATACGATGGGTGGGCTGTTACTAGAAGTAACGGTTGATTCGACTTTCATCTTCAACACTTAAACTTCTAAAACTCCTGATTTTATAGCAGTTACATATTTTCTCGATAAAGTTCCTCAAATTCAGTTACAATGAGTAAACGACCGATTCGCGTTGCTAATTGCTCTGGCGCTCTCAGTATGTCACAGCCTGATGCTGCAAAGGCTCTCCCCCAAGTGCCCACTGCGCAATTTACTGACAATATCACAGCCGATCCTGGTGTGGTCATGTACAATCAGGCCAAGAGTGGCCCGGTTGATGTAATTACAGGCGATTATTTGGCTGGTAGGCCTCGTTGACACAATTGATCATGGCTTATTCGCTTATGCATTATAGAGGCCACTATGGTTGCAAATGCTGGACAGATAGGCGATGCAAATAAAGGCGGATGGGTCGCAACGGCCCTGGATGGCATCACCTTGTCGCTCGACATTGTCAACGAGAAACGGATCAAAATCGTCATCAATGGCGGAGCGAGAAATCCAAAGGGTCTGGCGGAGACTGTCTATGAGATGGTAGGTCCTTCGACTGGAGTAGCTGAATGCAAGCTGATCTTTTGAGATAGGTCAAGGAAAGAGGGCTCAATCTTCGTGTTGCCTATGTAGAGGGAGATGATTTGATGCACAAGGTCCATGACTTGCTAAGGACTTCGCTTCCCCATCTCGATGAAGCAAATAAAGACGTGCAGTATGACAAGAGCACTCGGTCTTTTCTGGATTCGCCCGAGGAGATGCCCATTGTCGCTGCAAATGCCTATCTTGGATACCGGGCCATCAAGAAGGGCCTTGACGAGGGTGCAGATATTATAATCTGCGGTCGTGTTGCTGACGCATCTCCAGTCATTGGCGCTGCGGCGTGGTGGTATGGATGGGCTGAATCGGACCTGGACAAACTTGCTGGATCCCTAATTGCAGGTCACCTTATCGAATGCTCGACCTATGTCACTGGCGGTAATTTCTCTGGGGCATACAAGCATCTCCCCAGCGAGTTTCTCCACCTTGGCTCTGGAATAGCCGAGGTTCTGGAGAATGGAGAATGCATCATTACCAAGCACGAGACGCTGAATGGATTTGTCACTACCGATACTGTCAAGGGCCAGCTGCTGTACGAGCTGCAAGGCAATATTTACCTGAACAGCGATGTCAAGGCCGATATCACAAACGTCAGGGTTGTCCAGGATGCTAAGAACAGGGTTCACGTCTCTGGCGTCAAGGGCTACCTGCCACCTCCGACCACAAAACTCGCTGTTTTCTACAGGGCTGGCTTCCAATGCGAACTCTTAATCAACGCGTGCGGTTATGCAATCGACAATAAGTGGGATATTCAAGAGCTGCAAACCAAAACTCTGCTGCAAGAATGGGGGGTGATGGATAAATTTGACGTGCTGGATTTCCAGCGCATTGGCACTGCCATGGAGAACCCTGATTCCCAGCTGGCATCGACGACGTATCTTCGCATATTTGCCCAGTCGAGAGATCAGGCCGCCTTAGGTGCGATCTACAAGGCATGGCACCATCATTTCATGAGCCATTTCCCAGGTGGGGCTTCATATCCCTTGTGTTCTTGATTTGGTTGGATGCTGACATCGATATTTAGGAATGCATTACTCAATGGACGTACGAACTCTGGTACCGAAGCCATTCGCAGGATACTACCCCTGCCTTGTGTCGCAGAACGAGATTGAGGAATCCGTTACCATCTTCGGAGACAACTCATCAGATGAACGAAACCGCCACGTTGTCGGCCCGCCGAAGAACACAGAGGCTCTCGCACCGCGCCTGAGCTACGAGACCGCGAACCCAATATCCGTTGACTCATTTGGACCAACAGTCCTGCGACCTCTTGGAGATGTCGCGCTTGGTCGTTCCGGCGACAAAGGCGCCAACATCAATATTGGCCTGTTCGTCCAGACAGCAGAGCAGTGGGAATGGTTCCGGTCATTCATGACAAAAGATAGAATGCGCCAGCTTATGCGCAAGGATTGGCGCGACTGGTACCTTCTGGAGAGGGTCGAGTTCCCGGAGATATATGCGGTGCACTTTGTCGTGTATGGACCTCTAGGGAGGGGCGTGAGCAGCTCCAAGTTGCTGGATAACTTGGGCAAGGGATTTGCTGAGTTTATTCGCGCTGTGCATGTTCCGATTCCTGTTAAGTTTAACATTGAGGAGGGCAAGATTTAAGCCCATGTTCTACATTAGAGTATCTTATTCCTGACTTGAGTAGTAGAGAACAATTGGCAAGAGGCTATGTTTGTGGATATCACGAGTTGACGTTTGGCGAGGCAACAATGATGGCAGACTTTATCGATTTCTATGCTTTCCTTTCGCTACTATTATCTTATTGAGATTCCACACTTCCAGCTTGTAGCAAAATATTAGACGAGGAAAACTACAAGATAATTTCATCTCTTGCGGACGGTACCTCGGGAAGAAGGTAAAATTCATGAACATCACTTGA